TAGATTGATTTTCAGCTTCATTTTTTATAATTAATGTAGATAATTTATCTATATTGAATCCAAATCGACGTTATTTTGTGACAAAAATAAAGTATTTTTATAATTATAATTTATTTTAGAGTTATAATAATCTTTCTCATTATAATTTTTTAATTTTTCAACCCAAAATAATATCGTTTAGAGAATGAATGTACATAATTTATCTACATTCACTATTCACTGTATAAACATTATAGCCTTGATTTTAATAGAATTTATTTCCATTGAAAAATTATACTTCAAAAGTCTTTCTTTCAAAATTTATTTTATTTAAATGATAGAACAAAATTACTTGTCAAATGTAATAAATATATATGTAATTCAAATGTTTCATAAATCATACGTCTAAAATCAATTTTATTTTACGTAAAAGCAACAAATAACTCAAACAGTAAAAAAATGAAAAACAACTTCTCGTGGAATTAATCATACAAGCTCAAAAATATAATTATATGAAACTATCGAAAGGTCGCTGGTTACTGTCAGAATTTATTTTATGCATAAATAAAATTTAATGCATAAAAAGTATAAATTTTCTTTATGTAAGGATAAATAACAACAACAATAATAATGATAATAATAAATATTATTAGCTTAAATGATAGCTTTTTGACCCTTTTGCATATATAATAATAATAAAAATAATAAGCAATGTTATTAGTTTAAATAACGATTTTTTTGATTTTTTTATTCTTTATTAATTAAAAAATAATTATTTTGTCCACGTCCTAAAATTATACATCAATCTATTATTATTTAATCAATTACACCAAATATTTAAGAGAATAACATCTGTCATTTTAAAGAATATAAGCTTATATCATTTTAGATCCTAACCGTTATTTCTCTCCATCAACGGTTATAATTTATTGGATCAAAATAATTAATTAATTAATAATAAATTTCACTCAATAGATTATAACCGTTGATGGACGAAAATCAATGGTTAGGATCTAAAATGATTTAAGCTTATTAAAAGATATATGTTTTTCCCAATATTTAATCGATTACATCATCATCGATGACAATAGTCGATCACACGCACACCATATACTAGAGAATAGAGATACTAGAGGATTTGAAAGATACTAGAGACTAAATGTAATTACCAAGGAAGCACACACACTTATAAAGACACGGAGATTCGTGTCCGACACGCTCCGACACGGCGACACGCTCCGACACGGTGTCGGACACGCGATCAACTTTTTTCGACACGTTGACCATTCTGACACGTGAATTTGACCGTGTCTGACACGGTCAAATGTCATTTTAGTAATTTTTTTTTTAAATTTTTTTTTTAAAAAAATAAAAAATATATATTAATAAAGCTTCCACCTGATTATATCAATTTTAATTTTTTTTATCTTTTTTCTTTAAGTAGATAAGAGATCATCTCAACATCATTGTTGTCAATTCCTATCACGCTCTTGTTGTATCTCCTTGTCTCTGATCTCTCTCTAATATGATTTGATCTCTCTATCTGATATTATATCTCTCTCATCCCAGTTCTTATTTTTTTTATTATAGCTTTCATCTTTATAATGTGTTGATGGGTATTATTAATTTAGTTTCATATTTTTGTTAAATTATTAAATATTAAATGAAATATACACTATATAAATTAAAAATATTATTTAATATTAAAACGTGTCCCAACGTGTCGAAATTCATAATTTTTTAAGATTGACGTGTCAGAGTATCGTGTCGTGTCGTGTCACGTGTCGCGTGTTATATCGGTGCTACGTAGCTAATTACAGAAGCACATGTTTGAAAACTTAACATTATTACAACCGCTATCCATTCTGTTTGTTCTCCGTTACCGAGAGGATCGCCTGTGACATCCTCAGTTCTCCAATTCGTTACCTGAACTTTCAGTTTATTGGTTCAAACGTCTATAATTTAATACTCCAAAATTTAATGAAATAAAATTCAACGTTTCAAATTAACTTGTCTGCCAGGCTTTATTAAATTAACTTTTTCTTTTTTAAATAAAAAATATAATCTTCAAAAATCTATTTAATTTATGAAAAAAAAATTCTATCTTCATTTTTAGTTTTTATAACTTTAAAAAATATTATCCAAGGCATGATCAGAATTCATCTCATCTGATCATTATGTAAAAAACTACTTCAACTAAAAACATTAAGGTGTTGAGTGAGAGCCTTTTAAATGATTTATATTATTCTTTAATGGGATAGGATATTGTGACAACCAAACAATGTTACTACTGCATCTTAACCGTTGATTTCCGTCAATCAACGGTTATCATTTTTTAAATCAAACTCATTAATTAATTATTAATTCGCAATAAATGATAACCGTTGATTGGCGGAAATCAACGGTTAAGATGTGGTAGTAACATTGATAATAACATTATTTGGTTGTCACAATATCCTAACCCTTCTTTAATACACCCTTTTACGTAAAAGTCCTTTGGCCTTGAAGTGTTAATATTGCATAGGCCCAATTTTTATTTTTATTTTGGTTTATCTTATGTTTATTTAATTTCACAAGTGGGTGGTGGTGAGGTTCAAACTCATGACCTTATGGTCAAGAAAGCTTTGATACCATGTAAACAACCATTTCAATCTAAAATCTCAAGATGTTGAATGAGATCCTTTTTAATGGTTTATGTTGGTCTTTTTAATGATTTATATTATTCTCTAACAAATTACATTAAATCTAAGATTTTATCTTGCAACTTCAACCTTCACAATTTTATGACAATATTATTACATTACTTCTTCATAATTCAACACATTAAATTCTTCCAACAAACTCTCAAAACCTTAATGCTTAATCTAGAAAAGATCACTAGGACATTAGGATTCTAATTGTGTTAAAGGGTTAAAGTCACTAAGACATTAGGATTTAACCAACAATTTAAGTAAGAAGACGAATTGTCCGAGATATCTAGGATAATTATTATTTAAATTAAATTAAACCACTTAACGAGGATTAGAGGTAAAATAATTCCTAATTGCATTTTCCGTTTTTGATATTTTAAACTTAATTCTCAATTCTTGCGTTCTAGCATGTTCTTGATTTTTTTATTGCGACTAATTTTAATTATTTTAATTTTAATTTTTTATTCAAAAATTATTCTCTAAAACAAATTGATTTGTCCAAATTAAAATGAATAGTTAGGATAGTATTTGGTGCATTAATCCTTGTAGGACAATACTCTTTCTCACTACTTTATTACTTGAAATGATCAGTATACATGCCGAAATCGCAACAAGTTTTTGGCGTTGTTACCGGGGATTAATTTATGCCAATATTATTCATAGATTTCATCTTTAAGATTGGACTTTTATTTATTTTTTCTTAATTTAATTTAATTTATTTATTACTAATCTATTTTTTCTTGTTTTATGCGAGGTACAGTAAATCCTGCTTCTCTGCAATTTGATCCTGAGATTGAGAAGACTGCAAAGAAGATCAGGAAGTTTACTAAACAAAAGAAACAAGAAGAATCATCTAGGTCACAGCCAAAAGCAGAACCAGATGTGGCTGGAAATAATATGCCACCTCTTCCTGAAGAAGAATTGATGGAATCATTCCTCACACCAAACTTCACAAGACTGAATTCGAGTATTGCCAGACCAACAATTGAGGCTAACAATTTTGAAATCAAGCTAGCACTAGTCTCATTGGTCCAGCAATCTCCATTCGCAGAGAGGATGCAGAAGATCCACATGGATTTCTTAATAAATTTTTGATGATTTGTGACACCGTCAAGTGGAATAGGGTTTCAGACGATGCACTGAGATTGCGATTGTTTCCATTTGCTGTCAAAGGAGAGGCACTCAGATGGTTGGGACAACAGCCAGCAAATAACATCAACACTTGGGATGATTTGGAAGCTATATAGAAGCGATTCAAAGAGCGTATGAGGAGGTGTCCTCAATATGAGTTACGACCCGGAGAGAAAGTTTGTCTGTTTTTCAACGGGATCACGCATTCTTCAAGAATAATGATTAATGCTTCAGCAGGAGGATCCATCAGGCAGAAAACTCCAACTCAAGCGCAAGAATTGTTTGAATCTATGTCTTCATTGGAGAATGAGAGTATTACAACACTGCCCAAGAAAGGAGTTCTACAACTGGAAAGCAATGATGCTATGTTAGCACAACATAAACTCATCTCTCAACAAATTTCTAGTCTCACTAGCAAGTTTGAGAAGTTTCAAGCTTCTGCACTTCAAGCTCAACCAATGGCTTGTAAGTACTGTAAAGGAGACCATGAGACTAATGAGTGTGATGCACTTATAGAAGCAAATCCAGTTCAAGTTAATGGAGTCTGGTATGATCAGAGAGCTCAGCATACTCCTCCAAGAAATCAAAATAATGCTCTCGGGAATACTTTTAACTCTAAATGGAAGAATCATGCGGGTTTTGATTGGAAGTCATCGCAACAATTGCAACCTCCACCTATTCCACAAAGTAACATTCTGAATTGGAAAAGGCATTAATGCTTTTAACCAAGACCACCACTGCCTATATACAAAGCATTGATGCCTTCAGGAGTGATACAATCGCATTCATGAAAGAGACCAGGTCTACTTTCAGGAATCACGAAGCATCTATAAGGAATTTGGAAACTCGAATTTGGCAGTTGTCAAGACAAGTAGTTGAGAGAAGTCAAGGAACATTTCCCAGTGATACCATAATCAACCCGAGCAAGCACTACAATGCCATCACTACTAAAAGCGATGATCTAGAAAAAAAGGAGTTGAAGTTTCTACAAGTAAGGATGAACAAGTTCAAAAGATTAAAGAATAAGCAAAGGAGAAACCTCCTATAGTTTAAAAGACACAATGATACTTTTCACGCTTTGAGAAACCTTGTTATCCCATGAGGCTCTAGCAACATGAGCAAAGGAAGCAATGGTCTAAATTTTTAGATATTTTTAAGAAATTGCATACAAACATTCCTTTTGCAGAAGCTTTGAAGCAAATGCCTTCATATGCCAAGTTCTTGAAGGAGATCTTATCTAAGAAGAGGAAGCTCATAAAAGATGAACATGTTGTTCTAACAGAAGAGTGCAGCGCTATCATACAGAGGAAGATACCTCCAAAATTGAAGGATCCAGGGAGTTTCAGCATTTTATGCACCATTAGCAAGACAACTATAGAGAAAGTCTTATGCGATCTTAGTGCCAGCATCAATGCGATTCCACTATCCCTGATGAAGAAGTTGGGAATTAATGAAGTAAAGCCAACCAGGATGAATCTTCAACTGGCCGACCGCTCAACAAAGCAAGCACATGGTATTGTGGAAGACGTGCTCGTCAGGGTAGACAAATTTCTAATTCCTATTGATTTTGTTATACTTGACATTGGTAAAGATGCCAGTTTTCCTATAATCTTCGGGAGACTATTCTTAGCAACCTTGGGAGCGCTAATGGATGTACCTAAGGGTGAGTTGATACTGCACGTGGATGGAGAGCGAGCAACATTCAAGGTGCTTACAAATGAATCTCCACTACCTACACATCAACTTGAAGATCAAGCCTATTACATTGCTGAAAAGAAGGTTGAGGAAAGGAACAAGAAAGAAGTCCATCAGCAGTATGAGGAACACAAGCCAAAGGTTAAGATGGAAAAGCCCAAGAGCAAAGGAAAACACGTCAAGACTAAATTTAGAGTTCATGAGGCCACTCTTCCTTATCCACATGCGTACGAGTACCACCATGGTAGGACATAAATTTTGAGCAAGGAAATGGTGTCATACCTGAGCTCGAGCTACCAGCCTCCATAATCACAAGAGGTACATCAGGCTCGTGACGTTAAATAAGCGTTAATTGGGAGGCAACGTGTTATTTTATTTTTTTATTTCTTTTTCCTTTAGTATTTATTTTATTCTATTATTTGATGCTGGTATTTTCATGTTATTATGTTTTCATCTAGTGTATATGTTCCTAATGTGCAGAATAGATCCATCCTACATCTAGTTTAGTTATTATTGAGGACAACAATGTTCTAAATCTTGAAATTGTAAGGCGTATAACATATTTTGACTAAGGAACTAACACCAAGAAAGGGATACCTAACAGAATTTTCAAATTCAGGAGAGATATATCAATCTTTTTTAATTTAATCTTTTACCTTTTGATTTTTTTAATTTTTTAATTTGTTTTTAATTTTATTTTCTTATTCTACTGGTGTCTGAATGTTTTTCCAAGATAGTCTGAGCTGAATTTGTTAATAAACCTGAATAGCCTCTAAGAAGAGCAAGTGACACTGTGAGAGTTCACAATGACTTTTCTGTCATGATATTGCATTGAACTTCATTTAGGAGAATAAAATTGCTCATTTGAATGAGTCTCTCTTTGAGAATTTTGGATAATACCTTGATTTAGAAAATAGGAAATATAATTTTAGCTTGATACCACTACATGTGAGGTTTGAGCCTAAACTGTATAATTTTCTTCTTGAAAGACCTCACTGTAATAGTACACTACAACTTGCTCCATTTCTCTCTTGATCTATGCATAGATTGAGAAGACAAAGGCATTTTATTATATATAACCACTTGCCAAATAAACCACCCGATAAATTTTCCATTGCTAACCTCTTTGAGCCTGAGACGTATTTTTCTTTTATTTACCCATATTGTTACTTAACCTTTATCCTTAATTATTCCACCTTTGAATGAGATTGAAAGACTTATCAAATATTCAGGTAAAGTTATTATGAATAATATTAAGTAATGAGAAGATGGGAAGAATGCTCAAAGTGAGGAAGAAAAATATTAAATAAAGTTGCAGTAGTTATGTTTGTGTTAAAAAAAATAGAAAAAGAAAATGTATTTTATTTAAATTTTTTTAGTTTCCAAAGAAGCAGCAATTAAGAAAATAATAAGGTGGTAGAAGGGAGAAAATTATGAAGTTAGAAAAGAAACTGCAGTAAAGAGAAGAAGTAGTGAAAGAATATTTGTGAATTGACTGATTTTATATTGGATAATATGTTTCAATCTCATATAAGAAATTGAACTACTTCCTAAATAGTCTTACCCCCATACCAGGCCATATTACAACCCTGAAAAGACCTTTTGATCAATATATGCATGTTGTCTGTGTTCCTCACTTTTATGAACTTGAGAATAGGATCAAGCCTATGGTAGTGCTATTACACTGATGGATTGAGTGATTTCACCCTAAACACTTGACTGATGAGTGTTTTATTCATCTTAGTGAGGGGTACTCAAGTTAGATTCTATTCTTATTTAAGACTGGAATTATTGTTTGAAGTTCTCAATATTGGAATTCAATCATGCTTAACATAGTATTTTCCTGAACATATGCTCTGAATTACTTGTTTGATGGAATGTTATGCTTGAATTTCAAGTATTCTTCTCCCAAGGTCACTTTCTTGCTTCATATTGTTTATTCTAGTTTATTGTGAGGACAACAATATCTAAATTTGGGAATTGTTTGACGAGTCTTGTAACACCCCATGTGCACGCGGTGTATTAAATATACATATGGTAATGACGCAGCTAATTAAATGCGGAAGCTAACTTTTTCTTTCCAATTATGACATCATTAATTATTAACCAAGTGGATTACTTATTTTTTTTTTAAATATCGCCTGTATATAAATTGCAATAAATAACTAACTGAATAACCTCATTCAATATATGTGTATCTAGTCACGAAACTACCACACGTAGACCAGACAATATCCTGATACATTATACAACTCAAATATAACAAACATGTCTGATATCAATGTGGCATGGACAACCTCCATGCTCACCAAATAAGGAAACACAGCCAAATTAATATCTCAAATCAACTGCCAATAAGATAATAGCAAGGCATAGTCAACATCCAAACATAACAGTGGAATAACATGCATAGTCAGCTCAACTCTGGCCTCCTGCCACCAGAGGTCTCAACCTCAGAGGTACCTGTACCTGAAAATGTACCCTAACACGAGGAGAGATCTCTAAAAAGAAATCTCAGTAAGTCAAGGGGTCCTCAAGGATCTCTCCATCCCAAGCTCACTTACATGTGCAATATAAGTTCAAAAGCATAATATCATCATCTTTTCAAAATCCGTGCAATGCAACATATATCCATGTCATGTGTGTATATACATTCTAGTGGCCAGAGAAATAAAAGGTAGGACTTACGTAGGTCTACAACCCACAATACTCTTGTACCTTACCCACGGAGTTACCATCTTGTATGTCTCCACATACTCTGGCGTTACCGTCTAGGTGGAACACCACATACATATCATATGGCAGTTGCACTCAAAATTAGCTCAATAACATATCAATATTCATCACATATATTTAGAAAACACATCATGCATATAACCATCCCTCCATGAGGTATGGTGGAACCAACAATAGGCAAAATCGAGGACACGAAAGCTTACCTCTCAAGCTAACAGTCCAAACTAAGAGTCCACACCAGCCCACGTCACCAAACAACACACTCACAGTCTATTTATAATAGAAACATTATCAACATTCATCATCTAGAAGTTCGTTACATTACGACAACGTTTCCTTTTTCATTTAGCGCCCTTAGGCTTCTCTTAAAGCCATAAGCCTTTAATCGAAGTAGTTTTGACTTAGTTAACTTATTACAGAAGTTCATATTAACCAATCATGGGTCTATAAACCCAATCCAAGCTTCTTTTGGACAGAACAGATCACTACACGAACTTTCCCAGAATATCCATATATTCCTCGGGGGCATATCCGGATTTCACAGGGTCAATATCCGGATATCCATATCCGGATATCTCAGACCCAATATCCAGATATCCATATCCAGATATTTTGCAACAGAATGCAATTCTGCATCTTTGCGAAGGTATCCATCCAAAGTTCCATTTTTAACACTTTTACACGTCCAAGAAGGTTTTGTAGACACATTAAGGTCAGTGTTCATGCTAGTTACTTAATCATCTCATTTTACATGCCAAGACTTCACCTTTAACATAGAAAACTCATGAATAAATGTTATGGTGCATACCAATGGCTCAAAACAGAGGAAGAGAATGGTCTTGGAGCTTTCTACACAGCTCTATGGTTCTATTACTACAAGACCACGAAAATACTCGTCAAGCTTGGTATTTTACTCCCCAGAATAGCTCCTTGAAGCTTCAAAGGTGAAGGAAATGGCTCCCTCACCACAACCCAAGAACTCATCCCCACAACCCTCACCAACTCAAAAGCTCAAACTCAGAAATGGAGTACCCTTCTCACTCACAATGCTAAGTCACACCTAGCTATGGTGTTTAGGTGAAGAAAACATGAAAAAATATGATCACTTGGGGATTTCACATGAAGAATAAGGTGGTGGAAAGGTGGAAGACTCCAAGAGATTTCTGAATGTCATGTAGCAATATGGAATGAGCCTAGGGTTTAGTGCCACTAAGCATTTATAGGTACATTAAGTTTTAATCGTCAGTATTAGCACTAATAGCTCCGCTAATCATTTTAATCTCAAACTTCATATTCTGAACCTAGCCATTTTTCAAGGATTTATCATTGATAGAGTATTGTATTGACTTGATCAGTTAGTCATAACTGTCAACTGTATTCTGTTTAGATTTAGCTTTCAATTTCTGTTATTAAGCTTTCCTTCTCTGTTAGCATTCCTTCTATATAAAGGTGCTATACTCTACATGTACGATTCATTCAATTCAATACACATTTTACACAGTTATCTTTTATCTTGCTTTTCTTTCATTTGTATCTGATACCTTTCATGGTATCAGAGCTTTTTTTGATCCATGGAGACCACTTAAGAATCCGTCTCTGCTTCCGCAAATGCAAGCTCTTCGAATCACTTACATTCCTTCTCAAATCCAGTATCATTTAAACTGGAAGATGGAAATTTCCTACCTTGGAAACAGCAAGCCATGGCTACGATCAAAGGTTTCAAGTTATAGAAATTTATTAATCAAAGTGATGAAAACACCAGATCTGGTGCTGAGAAAGAAAGCTGGGAGCAACAAGATCAGCTCTTCATGTCATGGCTTCTGCATACAAGAATGGTTGGCTGCAATTCTTCATATGAAATCTGGAAGAATCTTGAAGATTTTTTCACTTCTCAAACTCGCGCCAAAATAAAACAGCTGAAACTGCAGCTCAAGAACTCCAAGAAAGAAGGACCAGTATCAAAGTATCTTCTGCAAATCAAGAAGATAGCTGACGCGCTGGCAGCAACTGGTTCCAAGATCTCAACTAAGGATCACATTGATGCAATCTTTGATGGATTAGGTGAAGAGTATGATCCGTTTATTACCTCAGTAACTTCAAGATCTGATGCGTATACTGTCAATGAAATAGAAGCTTTATTACTAGCTCAAGAAGAAAGAATTGAAAAGCATAAAAAGTTTGAGCTAAATCATATGCAAGCCAACTTCACACAGATGAATTTCAGAAGGTAAAACAATTTCATAGAAGGTCCATCTTCTTTCAACAACAGAGGACATTTCAACAACAACTTCAGAGGAAGAAATTTTAGAAATGGAGGTCGCTTCAACAACTTTCAATCTGGTCACAGCTTCAATGGAGGTAACAATTTCAATGGAGGCAAACACCAGTGTCAAGTGTGTGGCAAATATGGCCATACTGGATGGGAGTGCTATCATAGGTTCAGTCAGAATCTTCCAATCCATTTGAACAACAACAAATGACTAGTAACTCAGGAAGCTGAAACTCAATGCCTGAGATTC